ATCTATATTATATGCATTTTATTGTATTTTAAAGTTTAATTTTTTTTATTTTATTATACTAAGCTTTATTTTATTATAATGTTAATTATTGTATTAAATAATAAAATATACTATTTTAATTATAATAAGCTTTTTAATATTACTTCTTTTTCTGTTTAATATTTACTTTTGAAATTAATTTATAATTATATTTGTAAAAAAAGAGATAGATTATTTATTACTATCAGTTATTTAACTACTTTAAAATTTTATCTTACTTATTATTTTTTATAATACATTTTGATTTATACTATATTTATATTACAATTAATAATTTAGCCAATAGTTTCTATTTTCTTATTTTAATATTTAATTATATAACTATAATATAATTAGAAAAAGATGTAAATCTTAAAACAATATATTTTAAAATTGATAAATTAAATTTAACTAAAATAATTTATAAATAATATACATAGTTAACCTCTTATATAATCATAGTTTTTAAAATCAAAAAATTTTATAAAAAATTATATGATGTAACTATAAAAAAAAGATCTTAATAAGTTTGTTATTAATTTTAATTTAATAAAATGTACTTACAAAAAAGGAATTTTTATATAGAAAATGATTATATAAGAAATTTATTGTATATTAAAATTATATATTATTTATATATTATATATATTTTATTATAATTTTATATATCAATATTTTATAAAAATTTATTTTTTGCAGAATCTTAAAAAAATAATATTAGATCTTTATAATAGAAAAGAAAAAAATAACTGAAAAATATAAAAAATTTTCCTTTATTTAATATTTTATTAATAAATAAGTTAATGCTAAATCTGAACCTAAAAATCCTATTTAATATATAAAAATAGATTAATTTTTTCTAATAGTTTTCTTCCTCTTTATTGCAAAAGTTCTATATATATAATTATATAATTTTATATTATAATTTTATTATATTTTATAAAGATTTATTTTTTACAAAAGATAAAAAAAATAAAATTATATATATATAATTTTATATCATTATTTAATATATATATTTATAGAATTATTTTTGTTAGATTTTTTTTTAAATTTTATATCCTATTATATTTTTTCAAACTTTATATTATAATTTTTTTTAAATTTTATATTATTATACTTTTTAAAACTTTATATTATTATATTTTTTAAAGTTTTATATCATATTTTTTTAAATTTTATTTTAAATTTTTAAATTTTACTTTATTTATTAATAAATTAAAAAATGTTTATTTTTATTTTATTTTATAAATATTTTATTTTCTAAAATAATATTTTTAAAGTAAAATTATAAATAGAATTTTAGAATTTTTTTTATTTTAAATATTATAATCAATTTTTTTCTTTTTTAAATAAGCTAATAAATATATTATTATTTATACTTTGTATAGTTTAATAATTAATTTAAAATATTTTTTTTATATAAAAAATAATACTTCTTATTAAATTATTTCCATATACAAAATATTTTTAATTATTTATTTTATTTTTATTTAAACTTTATAATAATTTGATTTAAAATTTATTTGAACTAACTTAAAAATTTTAAAATAAATATAATTATATTTAAAAAATAAAAAAATATGTGAAATATAATTGATAACTAATATATTATTGATTTATTATACTATATTGAAATTTGGCATTCTTAAAAAATAAGCATCTTCACAATATATATAATATTAAAATAAGCATTTCTCTGATATAATCATTTGTATTTACAAAAATTTAACAAAAAAAGTTCTTTATTGATTAAATATATAATAAAAGATAATTTTAGATTACTAATTATTATCTAAATTAATCTTATTAAAATTAAATTCATATTTGTCAAATATAGAAAAATTTAATTTAATTTTAAAAAGAGAATTATTTTTTAAAGTAATTACTTTATTACTGTAAAATATAATAAAAAGTAATTAGTATAAATTATTTAAAAAGAAAAATGTATATTTTAAAATTATCTAGCTTGTAAATCATATATATCTATTTTTTTTTTTCAAAATTTATTTCAAAATCTTTATTATTAGATTCTATCTTAAATTTATTCTTTAATTCATTTAAAGAATTTGATATTTTGCATATTTTAAAGGACCGAATAATTACTTTATATGAAATATTATCTTATAAATGTTTTATTTATTCATAAATATCACTCAGTCTAATATATTACAGATTTTTAAGATTTTAGCAATAGTTTTCCTAGTATTCCTATTAGCTATTTAAAAATATCACTCCTTATGAAGATTATCTTTGAATAATTTATTAATTATAATATCTAAGAATTAATATACATTTATTAAACCTTCTAGGATTATTACTAAATCAATATCATTATCATGAAATTTTTTTAACTGATTTTTCTTTAAAAGAATCATATATTATTATTATAAAAGTCTTAGATTCATTATCAATTTTTAATTCATTAATATAATTAATATACTTTAGCATCAAATCAGAATCTATCTATTCATTTTATTGAAATTAAATTATTTCACCAGATAAAATTAGGTCACATTATTACTGGTAATCTTTTCTCTTTAAAAATATATATTAATAGATAATTTATTTTATATAAGATAAAAAAAAACAAAAATTTCTAATAAATATAAAAGTTATTACATAAAAAATATAAATGTATTTAATTTATTATAAAGAAATAATAAAATAATTTTTACCTATGATACATGTTAAAATAACTGTAAATTTATTTTTTTTTTATTTACAATTTCATTTATATAGATTATTTTTTTACCTGTATAATTAATAATAAAATTTTCTATTATATCGAAGCAGATAGGTATTTTATTAATATTAAGAATATTGAATAATTCAAAAGCTTTTTCTATTTTAAGATGGATAATAAATTGAACAAAATTTTTTTAATAATTATTAGTTTGTGATAAAGTTTTGTGAAATTTTAGTACGTTATCATCTGAAAAGGTTAAACCTATTCATAAATATAAAGATCTAATAACTTGAAGTCTTAAAATTTTGTGTTGCATTCCTATAAAGATTTATTATTTTAAATTTACTTATTATTTTCTTCATTTAATTTATATGATTATATAAGTAATACTTAACTTTTATTTCTTTGACTAATTATTTAATTATATAATTTTTTCTACTTTATAATAAAAAATAGTTTAACTTAAATTAACTTGTTTACTGTTTTTATTCAGTTCAGTTACTCAGTTTTTACTTGTTCTTATTCTATACCTAACATACTAATATTAAGACTAAACTACCTTACTACTTCATTTCTTTAGCATAAGCAACAACTTGTTCTTTACTCCAATGAATATGAATTGCTATGATGTTTAACAACAGTTTTATAAACTTTATTTTAATAGTTTTTTTTTGTAGTTTTTTGTAGTAGCATGTTGAGTGAACTAGTACTTTAAAAATAAGCTTAAAATAAGTTTCATATTTGAATTTATTTATATTTTATAAAAAATTCACATTAAATCATACAAATGATATCATTAAATGATCCATTAGGCAATCATTAAATTTTTTCATTTTTTATATTAAAAATTCATTTTTTATATCAGAAATTTGTTTTTATATTAGAAGTTTAAATTAAATAATTAAATAAGATCTTTATAATTTGAGAAATTAATATTAGAATGTAAAGAATAAATGTATTTAATTTTAAAATACTTTAGAATATGCTATAAATTAATTATAATATTAAGATTGATAAAATAATTTTTTATTATTTTTATGAATTTTAATGTTATGTATTTTTTTAAATCAAATTTTAAGATTAATAATATTTAAATATTTGAGAATAATAAAAAATCTGAATTAATTAGTCTAAAATAAAGTGAAGGACTATATATATATGAGCAATAATAATGAAAAATATTCATTTGTTATTTGCTCAATAATTAAGTCATTGCTAATTAGCCTTTGCAATTACACAAAAGTCTAGATAAAATTAAATACTATTAGATCATTCTGAACTTAATAACAGTACCTATTTTTCAAGTATATTTTATAGTTATCTGTATCAATATTATTCTAAATAATTAAAATATATTTTATAATACAAAAGAAAGATACTAAGTATTAATTAATAAAAATTGTAATTATAATATTTATCATTTTTAAAAAAATTTTTTTATTATAAAAAAATTTGATTACTTATTTGACATTAAATGTAAATGTATAAAAATTTCCATTTTTTTATTTAGAATATTATTTTATATATAAATAAATATTGCTTAATATTATAAAAATCAATTATATTATTATAAATTAAAAGAATTTGATATCAAAGGTTAGTAATTATAAATTTTCTTGGTAGTAAAACAATATTTTTGTTAATAAATATTATTATGAATATATTAGTTCTTGATGAAATTTTATTAAAGATATTTGAAATAAAAAAAAAAAAAAAAAAAAACTTAATTCATTGGTAGTACAACAAATACAAATTTCACGTCATTCATAAATCTGGTAAGACGCGAATATTTTGTAGATCCTTCCATGACAGCATGATAACTGTTCCATTGGAGTTCTCGGAAATTAATTTCTTTGTAATAAATATATACTATTCATAAAAAAAGTGTCATTGGTTATTTAAATTGATCTAAAAAAACTATTTATTAACTGACATAATATTATAATGCACCATTGTTTTATTTCATTTCGTGTTAAAATTTACTGATATTCCGTAACACCGTCCAAAAAAAATCCCCCCCCCCCCAAAATTTATTCATCTTAAAAATTCATTTGATTAATATATTGACTATTTACATATATTTAGTTAATGAAAAAAATATTTAATATAATATAAAATATAAAAAACTATGAAATACACAAGTTTGTAACCGCTCTTTATAGAACAATAAAAATAGACGAAATATATACATGAGAATATAAACATATGATAAAAAGTATGTATGTATAAATTGTCTGCAGCTTGACAAGATGAAGGCTGAAGAATGTTGCGAATTGAAAGAACGAAATCAGTTTTATCTAATAAAATTGATGGACATCTTTCGTTGAATTCGTAAGGTAGAACTTTTCGTTTTAAATCTTTCTCGGTAAATAAAATTTTTAACAATTAATGGGGTACGTCCAGGAAGCATTTTTGCGATTTGAACATAAGTCAGGTTAGGTTGATGTTGCCTCGTTTGTCGAATACATTTCTCCTCGTTTTCGGTTAGCGGAGATTTGTCGACTATTATAATTTTATTTATTTTTTTTTTTTAATAATAAAAAAAATAAATAAATAAAATTATAAAATTATTTATTATTTAACATAAAATATGCGCAAACTTACTTGAATCATCTAGGTGATTCAACCATCTAAAGAATACAATCCAGGTTGGTTAATGAAATATGCCCATCATTATTTTGCATATATCAAGATTTGAAATTACCTTTCTCGACATTGTTTAGATGTACGAGTTTGCATTTCTTTTGCGATAATCACCCAAGATATCTGATGATTTATATGAAGAGTTCTAAATTGATTTACCAAGCAACGAAGAAGTTCGTCTTCCTAAAAAAAAAAAAACAAAAATCATCAAAGGTTACATAATAGTAAATAATAATAATAATGATGACACCAAGTGCAACAGTAGAAGTCAATGGACAAACAAATTATCTTAGGTTTTATCGTAAGATTTTATGTCTTTGAAACATTGTACAAGTTTTATTACGACATATTTATGCATTCACTTACAAAATTGTTCCACGGACCTTTGGCAATTTGAAAGCTTGTTTTCACGTTTGAAGGCATGATTTCTTTTGCTTGAAAGATGTTATAAATTTCAAAGAATTGTTGTAGTATTCGAAAAACGAATGGATTATAGATTTTATTTATATCAAAATCCCATTTACGCAGCATTCAAGTTAAAAAATTTTAAAATAGGTTCTTTTTTGTTAATCTAATATTTTATTTTAGCCCAATTCTAAACTAGTCCAGAATGCTCGTCATTACGTACCTTACACAATACGTATCCCCATTTTTTTTTTTTTTGTTGTACACTAAAATTATATAATTTAAAATCAAAATATCACCCGAAGAAAAAATTTTTAGCCCTGCATATAAATGGCTTTTTTTGATATGCGTCAGACAACTTCGTCAACAATTTCCATTACAAGTTAATTAATTTGCTACATCGGCAGAAAAAAATTGTGGCTTGATCCTATAAACCATTCTTGTAGAACCTCAAAATAATTATGTAATACAGAGAAATGGCATAATCTCCGAATAAATTTTTCCCATGATATAATTCAACAAAACCAACTGCGGTTATTGAATAATATGCTTCCTGCTAAATTGTTTTTATGCGGTATTGGGTATCATTAATTTTATAAAACAATTAATAAATAATCACTATTATGAAACCTTAGCGATCATTTCTCGAAAAAATTAAAACACAATTAGAATTCAATTCATTCAATTTCAAAAGACCTGTATAACCATCAACAATCTGGTTTATATTTCAAGTATAAAAACAAGAAACCGAGATAGATGGCAATAGATCAAAAGGTTTGATCTGTGAATGTGATGCGGCTAAATAATTTCCCATATATATATTGGCGCAGTAGCTTTCGAAAAAATCATCGATTCGATAATTATATAATGAGGATCTTATCATTTTGAAAATTTTTTTTACGAAAACCGTTCAATTTAACAATTTACACATACACAATATATATATAGCATACAATTCATTGAAACTTCTTGAAGCCAACTTTCCATCAACTGTTTAATTCTTACTGAAGAATTATCATTATTTGTAAAGAAAAAAAAAGCAAGGAAGCATCACTTACAAGAAAGAAATGAATTTTTTCTATATAAAATCCCTAACAAATGCCAAAATTCTAATAATATCTTGAGCTGTACAAGTAAAGCGAATTTCAAACTACACCGTTTCGTTTATTATCTCGTATATTCACACGTTCATTGCGTTTTCCCGCAGCACATATAATCCTCTTCATTTGCTGTTTATTAAAAAGCTTGCTTGATCAGTATGCTATTACTTCTTCAATTTTAAAAACGATCCATTAGAAAAAAAAAAATGTTATTGATCATACATCTTCGTTATATCCGGTATCCATCTTTACATCTGAAAGATAACGAGGTGAGAGCACCCCGACCGAACTTCGAAGACCAAGTTCACATCGACGAACAGGATTAAGTCTTGAACTTATCGTTGGTCGATATTTCATGTATCGTTCTCTTATGTCTAGGGAAAAAAAAAAAAAAATGAAAAAAAAGCATTATTTATAGAACTTAAATACCGCATCAATCGCAAAAAAATTTGCTTACTTGATGATCGTAAAACTTTGTCCTCTGTGGTCATTAATTTCAACTTGATCTCACTTCCGTAATTTGTAGGGACTATCCTTGACGGGGTTTTAAAATGTGGGGGTGAAGGAGGCGCAGATTGAATCGATGCGGAAAGTGGAACGAATGATGGCGTTGAATTTTCATACGTACTATTTGAAATTGGATTTATGGTACAAAATTCGTTTTCACCATCTTGTTCTTTGTTTTCCGCGTTGATACCTGATGACCTCCTTATCTTACGATGTCGACGCCGATGGATAACGGGATTTGCGTTAACTCGAAATCTGGTATTGATCATGATTTAAAAAGGATTTATTTATTCGTCATGCAACGGTTTTTACGTATTTAGGTATATACGCTCCCTTATATGGCTTTGAAGCCTTTTCGAATATTTCTCACAAATCGCGTCTTAGAAAAAAACTTTACCTTTCTTTGTAGCTATCGTTTACTAACTCGGGTATAAATCGCGTCATTGCCCAAAAAATTATCGTCGCCACTATAAATAACCAAAAATTTGGCATTTTCATCATATTTGCGATCTCAAACATGTGCGTTCGTTCGACTTCTGCACTTGCGGAGATGAAAATCTTCGTGTTCATGGTGTAAATAAGTAGTAAATGCTATTAAAGTCGCGTTATATTAAAAAGTAACTATTTGTAATAAAATAAAAATTAGGTCGAAATCGGGTTAGTGTATGTATAACTTAAATATCAGGGTAAATGAATGGGGGGAATGAATGGATTTGATGGATTTTTTTTTTTTTTTCAATGTTTTGTTTTATATGTAGAAAATTTTTAGGTTTATCATGAAAAAGTTATTGGTGTTGAACGTAGATCATAACTTTACATATTTAGATAACTAGTCGGTGAAAAGGAAATTATCTAACAATGTCTTCTTGTGGCTTATTTCCTATTCGAGTCACATACATGTCCGAATTAACTCAATTCAGATATATTCTCGAATGTATTTTCCCGCCAAAAATTTATATAGGATGGAAGATTGAGGAGGGGGGGTGTGTGAAGAGAGAAAAAAAAAAAACAAAAAAAAAATTTTGTGCGGAAAAAAAAAATGTGATGATAGATAATATGGCTGTCTTTTTATGTTATTTTTTTTTCTTTCTTTTATTTATTGGTTTGTGATTCGTGTGACAATTCACCTTTTTCTGTTAAATCAGGACTAGATCTCCGAACGTAGTCATACAACAAATATCCATACAATTAGATCTTTTTACAATTCTAAATTTGAAGAATTCTGAACAGACCGAAATCAAACAGGATTCATAGCCTGATTAAGGCCAAAAAAAAATAACCAAATCAAGAAATTTTCTTCTTTTATTAACCACTTTCTTAACTTTGAATAATATCTATGAATTAATGAATTATTAAGTATTATTTAAAATTCCTTTAATCAGTTATAAAAAAATATACACAAGTAAATAATATTAGAATACAAGCATTATTACTACACTACCTAAAAAATTATATTATATTTCAATACAACCATTTTCAAACAAAAGATTGGTTAATTCACCAATTTTCAATTCTTCACTTATTTCTTTAACTATCTCTTCATCACCACACAATCCAATCTCATATTTTAATTCTTCAACCCTCACTCTTATTTCTTCAATTTCTCTTAATGTCCTTTGTTTACATTCATTAAATTCCTCTTTCATTTCATCTAATTCCTTCATAGAGTTCTCCAACTTTTCTTCGTACGTTTCCTTAAATTGTTCCAACCATTTCATTTCAGCCATTTGCATTTTCATATAATTCTTAATTTCTAAAATATATCCAAAACCTCCGTTAATATTGTCCGATATCGATTTACCTTTACATTTAATTTTTTGCTGTAACAAATCCAACTTCTCTTTTGACTTAGACATTTGTAAACAGGAATACCCCTTAAAAACATTTGTTTCGGTTAATAAGCAAGTATATTTATGATTGAATGTTATTATATAAGAATGTAATGTTTGTTGCTTCTTATAAAGTTCTTTTTGATGTATGTGAAGTTGATGTAATTTTGGAATAACCGATGATGTGGAAGAATTTGATAGGGATGAATGTGGGGATGGGAATGATGTGTGATGGGAGGAAAGGTATGATTGTTTATTGTAAAATTTACAATTTACTACTGTAATGTCATCATCATCAATTTCTTGTTCTTGATCATTTTCGATATCATGAATTTGATGTTGCTGCTGCTGCTGATTTACGCCAACGAACCCCACGGCTCCTCCAATGAGGAATCCTACACTAAACATTGTTAATAATAACAATTTATTATTCGATGATGACATGATGATTTTGTATCTTGAATCTGGTTTACACAAAAGCAAAAAAAAAAAGATATTTTTTATTTATAAAGAAAAAAAAAAAGTATCTATTAAACAAAAAGAGCGTGAATCAAAAATAAAAGAAGTTAGAAAGATACATGAAAATGAAAATGACAAAGGAATTTTTTTTTTTTTTTGCATAAATATAACAATCCGATTAATGTATTTTGCCGTTGCTGTTCTAATGTACATACATTCATGCGCAGATTGTGATTGTGAAACGGAAATGATCGGTGAAATCCATAGTAAAACCTTTAAAAAGAATTTTTTTATTTCCCTTTTTTTTTTTGAAAATCCTTTTTTTAAAAATTACTTTCTGGTTTTATACTATTTATATCAATCGCAAAAATCCCTCCTTTATCGTTATAAAAAAAAACTCCCATTCTAGTTTATAAACAGAAAATCATCGACTTATCCACATGATAATTTTGTTTACTATCACTATTTTTCCCGCAGTTACCTTTTATAGCATCGATCTGATTTACTGTAACTTTATGATCATTTGTTCAGGGTCAGAACCATCATTTCTATTTATATTATTTAATTGCCCACTCTATAATTAGATATAAGAACCTCTTAATGATTTATTTGTTATTCTTAATTCTCTAATAAAACTATAACAATGCAAATTTAGTACCAATTAAAATCAAACTTAAAAAAAACTTTTTTAAAGTTGATCAAAATATAAATCACATTTTATTAAAGTTATAATAACAACTAGTATCTTAATTTAGATAAATAAGATAAAATTGCTTTTTATTATTAATTTTACATTAAATAAATAATCTTAATATAAATTTTACAAATTTATTTTTTAAGATTATAATTATTCATAAATTGAGTAACACTTCTTTTTTATTAAACAGTTATTTTATTAATCTAATATCAAATCTTTTATAGATATTTTCTCTTTATATATATAATTTAAAGTATATAAAAAATATATAAAAAATTTCTTTTTAAATTCATATTCTTTTAAATACACATTTTTTTTAATTACTCACTAAAATTCTAAAAAATATATAAAAAGATCTAATTATATATATTATTAGTTTAAAGCATAAAAAACTATTTATAGTCTAATCTCTCTTTCTCTTTTTTCCTCTTTTTATACAGTAATATAAGATATCCATCTATTCTTCTCCTTTCACTCTTTATTAAAATTATGTTTATTAGTATATATTTATTTTACTGCTAATCTATTATTAATTACTTTATTACATGAATTTAAAATGTACAATGTTTTTAATATTCTAGATTTACAAGCAGTCTTTATTACCTAATATTTAAAATATATATAATTTTTGACAAAAAATAATAGTAATAAAGATATCAAATTTTTTTTATAGCTATATTACCATTTTTTTAATATTTATATTATTTATATTATAAAATTCAATAATAAATATCAGATCTTTTAACAAAATATTGGTTTAAATTACATCTTATAAAATATTTAAATAACTTGAAAAAAAAATTATTTAAGCAAGTCATCTTTAATTTTATATTATTTAAACTAGAATTCTGAATCAAATCAGATTAACCTATTTACCTAATCTGACCTAACATAAAAAACCTAAATTAACTAATTGTTCTTCTTAAATAATTTATTTAAATTATTATTCAATTAAAATGATTTTTTATCATTCTTTTTAAAAGATGTCTTATCATTCAATTAAAACAATTCTTTATCATTCTTTTTAAATGATTTATTATTATTTAATTAAAACATATTTTATTGTTTTTCTTAAATAATTCTTTATTGTTCTTTTGATAATATTTTATTATTCAGTTAAAATAATTCTAATTAAATGATTTATTATTATTCAATTAAAATAATTTAGTCAGGTTAAGTCAGGTCAGATCAAATAAAAATTAAAATTTGATCAGATTTTATTTAACCTAATCTAATCCTCTCAGTTTAGGTAACTTAATTAATCTAATCTAAACTAATCTATTTAGAACTTTAATTTAAACTTAAATTATATTAAAAATATATAAGTAAAAATATGAATAGGAGATCTTTAAGATAATTATATATATAAATGTTTATATATTTTCTATTTACTATATATATTATTAACTTTTAATATGCTATAATTTAATACATATATAAGATTATATTTGATTAAAAAAGATTATTTTACAAATATTAATTCAGATAATTTAAACTTTTACTATATATAAAATCATTAAAATTCAATTAATAGATCTTAAGATATTTTATTTTAAATTCATATAAAATAATTTTTTAATTAAATAAAAAATATACTAAATATCTTATAGAATATTTGACTAGTAATTAAATATAATTAAATTTAAATATTATTAATAAAAAAATAACTAGAGAATATATATCAATTCAAAGATTTGGTAATTCAAAAAAATCATTTAATATTAAAATATTTAAAATTCTTATCCTTAAAAAAAAATTTTTTGATAATTTAAAAAATGCTAAATATTATCTTCTTTACTATTTTATGCTATATTCTAATCTATATAATATAATAATATAATTTTCTAATATAAATAATTTTAAGCATAAATTTATTAAAGAAATTAATATACTAATAAAATAGATATTCTATAAACAATCTACTAATCTTAAAAGTAATAGAATTTAATATTTCTAAATAATTTTTAATAGAAAATAATATTATTTATTTTATTATTACGATTTTACTAAATCTTGTTTATATAAAGAAAAAGTTAAAGATATCTTAATTTTTTTAGGATTTTTTACATACTATAAAGCTTATTTTAAATTTAATATAAGATATATACTAGTATAAAATTTATTCTTATATATATTAGAAATATCAAATTATAAGTTAACTAAATTTATAAAATGGTTTACAAATATAAATATTAAAAGAGAGATGTATTTAATCTTATATTTTAAATCTGATTAAAATTAAGGTAAAAGTATTATAACTAATTTATTCAATACTATGTTCTTGATATATATTAATATATAAAATAAAAAATTCTCAAATTATTTTAGAAAACTTTAATGCTAATAATTAAATAAGTTATTCTTATTACTTAAAGAAATGCCTATAAAAAAATTAATGATTTTATTATACTAAACATTTAAAATAAAGTTACTAATGATATAATAAAATTTATAAAAAGTATAAAACTTTAATACAATTATATATAAAGTAAAAATTAAAATCTAAAAAGTTAAAATATATTGATTTGAAGGTCATAGTTAATATTAAAGTTAAAATATATTATGATAATTAAAATATATTATAATAGTTAAAATTAAAAAATACTTTTAAAAAATTAATAAAAAAAAATATTTATATTATATATAAAATATATTATTATTAATATTATTACTATTATTTTATTATTTTATTATAATAATTATTATTATTAATATTATTAATTATAATATTTATTTATAAAGATTATTTCTAAATTAATATAAAAATTAAAAAAAGAATTAAGTGATCAAAATAAAAAAATAAAATATAAAAAAATAAAATAATATATAAAAATAAAAAAATTGATAAAGTATTTTAATTATAATAATTAAAGCTCTAAATTAAATTAGATTAACCTGTTATCTGACATGATCTAACTTGAAAAATTTAGATTAGATTAGTAAAATTGTTTATTTTAAATAATATCTATTATTCTATTTAAATAATATCTTATTATTTATTTTAAATAATTTACTTGAATTTTTCAGTTAAACAAATTAAAACAGATTACTTGATTTGACTTAATTTGAAAAAAAGTATCAAATTAAGTTAATCAAATAACCTGATCTATTTAAAGCTTTAATTCTAATATATTTTAATTATTATATATATTATAAATATTATAATTAATTTTGATCAATCATTATAATTGATTTTGACTATTATAATTAATTTTGACTATCATAATTGATTTTAACTTTTCAAATTTTTTAAAATTTATTTTGATTATTTTGACTATCTAAAATAGTTAAAATTAAATGGTTTCAATTTTATATATATTATTAACATTAAAAATTTGCTTTAAAAAAATGATTTACAAAAGTTATTAGATTTAATTTATGTAGATCATATTAAAGAAGATCTTAATTGATATATTGGTATTAGAAAATCAAATTGATTTATCTGATTTGTAGAATTTATAAAATACATCTGATTCATTTGATTTATTAAATTGGCTTATTTTATTAAATTCTTTACATATTTATTATTTTATTATTTCTTTATTTTTATTCATTCATCATTATAATTTATCTTTATTTTATTTCTTTATTTATTTTCTTTTATTATTATTTTATAGCTAAAATTTACTAAAATAGTTAATTTATAGCGTAACAAATAGTTAGTTGTAGTAAATTTATTTTATATAAATAGAATAACTTTTTATTTAAGTTGTAAATTTATTCTTTATAAGTTTAGTAACTCAGTTGTAAGTTTTTTAAACTTATTTAAAAGTTTCATATGAGTTTTAGTATTATAAATAAAGAAATTAATCTAAATCTATACAAATTTACTTTCCTTTAACATTATTCTTCATCTAA